CGCCATCATAGAGGTATTCGCTATGCGCCCATGTCAGGTGGCGCCGTCGAGTGAGAGAAACTGTCCCTTGCTGAGATCGCCAGAATGTACAGAGCCTTATAGAAAAATTTTTTAATAAATCTAAAAAAAGATTATTAAGAGTGAATTGACCAAATTAATCAGTGATTTGCGTGTGTATTATGTTAGTGTACCGTAATAAGTTTTGTTTGGAGTTGTCATGTGTACTACAAGATTGAAAAAAATAAAAACATGGATTGCGACTGTAATAACACAGCATGTATAAGTGCATATTCATGCTTGCACTTATGTGGAGCTTGAAAAATACAAGTACTGCTTACATTTATCTATTTCTGACAACGCAGTGTTCAATAAACGTAAATACACTAATGAGAGGTTAGGTTAACTTTTACACATTTATATTACGTTTCCGTAAATTACTTCTGTGCCTTTAAGCTTTGTATAAGTGTAAGCATTTATATGCACTCATATATGCTGTGTTATCACAATCGCAATCCATGTTTTTGTTTTTTACAATCTTGTAGTACACATGACAACACCAAACAAAATTTATAACTATACACTAACATAATACACACTCGAATCACTGATTAATTTGGTCAATTCACACTTAATAACATTAATTTAGATTTATTAAAAAATTTTTCTACAAGGTACATTCTGGCGATCTCAGCGAGGGACAGTTTCTCTCACTCGACGGCGCCACCTGACATAGGCGCATAGCGAATAAGGGTTATTGGGTTCTTGGTTAAAGGTATTCTCATACCTCTGTGACCGCCATTAGAGGCTCATGGGGACTTAAGTCATATACTAGTAAGCAAGCAGAACGCGAAAAAGTAGCTGATTGGCTGGCACCACCCAAATGAATAACATAGGGTTTCAGCCGTTATTTGTTGCAAAGTATATGTATATATATGTACGCCTTGTATATTTTGCAACAAATGGCGGCGGTTTTGCTGCTCACTCTCTGGAAGCTTACTAGTCATATACTTGTAAATATGTATATATCCATACATATATATATATGTATATCGCGACGTATGTATTTGCAAAACGATGCGTTTTCAAGCTCGCGGCTTTTCTCATGAGCCTCAAATGGCAGACATTGTCTCCTCACTCCCTCGAAGCTCACTAGTCGAGGCCTACGCACACGATCGAATCAGCGTTGGGTTAGGCGGATTCAATATCGAAACTTTTTCCCAAGATCGTATACATAGCTATACGATCTAGGGAGAATGATCCGTCGAGCATACAGCACAGCAGTGAAGGAGCATTGCAAAAGACATGCGGAAATTAAAAATTGTAATATTAATAACGCAAGTGCCTATCACCCAACAGACCGGGGCGCTAACTGGCCTCTCTTTTAAATAACAAAGTATTAATTATTAACACCAGCGCCTATCACCCGATGACCCGGGGTGCTTACTGGCCACTCTAAATTGAATTGAACCACAACGACACAGTACGCTCAAATATTTTTTGTTCTAAGTAATATTATTTACAAATATACTGAACACCTTTACCCGAACGCTCCATTGCACTGATATCTTTATTTGTTAATTTATATTTTTTCACTATTAATACATAGCTTAACGGCAATAATACGATAAAGCTTAAATTAAATCTCAAGCTTTGAAACTTTACGATAAACATATGTAACTTTTAGTCTCANTGATTTATAACACAAAAGCGCCTGTCACCCAATGACCCAAGGTGCTTACTTGCCACTGTATAAATTAATAATTATTAATAAATACCACAAGCGCCTATCACCCGATGACCCAGGGTGCTTACTGGCCTCCTCTCTATTAAATAATAAAATATAAATTAACAGCACAAGCACCTATTACCTGATGACCGTTGTGCTATTAATTATATATATCATTTAATAAAGCGACCAGTTAGCGCCCCGAGTCATTGGGTGATAGCTAGTTGTGTTATAAATATTACAATTTTTAATTTCCGCGTATCTTTGGCAATGCCCCTTCACTGCTGTGCTGTCTGCTCGATGGAACATTCTCCCTAGATCGTATAGCTATACAAACCATCTAGGAAAAAAGTTCCGATAATGAATCCGCCTAACCCAACGCTGTTGGCAGCAAACTTTTGACCCAGTGTTAGGTAAAGAGAATATGATTTTGCATTTTTATCACTAGGACTTATATATAGCTACAGATCCAAGTGAGATCCTAGTGAGAAAAATGCAAAAGTGGAATAAGATGGGGGAGGATGCCAGTGGTTCTCCCCAAATGTGACTGGCAAACTTGTGGAAAATTCAATTGGCTACGTTGTGCAAATACCCAGATAACTCGACACAATTACATGCACAATAACTTGGTAAACTAATCCCAAGCTATTTAACCCAATAACTCAATGAACCAATAAGCAGCCTCATGAGTTTAAATAAATGATAAGATTTATTAATTAACAAAGTAAGCGCGAATCCCTATTCCCACACAACCAGGGGCACTTACTGGTCATTTACTTAAATTACTATAAATAAAATAATAACGCAAGCGCCTATCCCCACATAACCAGGGGAACTTACTGATCGCTCACTTGAATTACTATAAATAAAATAATAACGCAGGCGCCTACCCCACACAACCAGGGGCACTTACTGGTCGCTTACTTAATTTACTATAAATGAAATTGTAATGCAAGCGCTTATTCCAACATGAGCAAGGGCGCCCACTGGTCGCTTTGATTATTTACGATAAATAGAATAATGTGAACGCTAACCCCCACATGACCCGAGAGGCTTGCATGATTCAATCGATTATAAATAATTATACTGACCAGTAGCCACCCCTGGTTGTGTGGGGATAGGCGCGTGCATTATTATTTTATTTATAGTAAATTAAGTAAGTGAACAGTAAGCTCCCCCTGTTGTGTGGGGATATAGGCGATTGCGGTATTATTTTATGAATCATAAATAATTAAAGCAACCAGTAAGCTCCCCTTGTTGTGTTAGGGTAGGCGATCGCAATATTATTTTTTTTATAGTAAATATGTAAGCAACCTGTAAGTGCCCCTGGTTGTAAGGGGATAGGTGCCTGCATTATTATTTTATTTATAGTAATTCAAGTAAGCAACCAGTAAGCTCCCCTGTTGTAAGGGGATAGGTGCTTGCCTTATTATTTAATTTATAGTAAATTAAGTATAAGCACCCAGTAAGTGCCCCTGGTTGTAAGGGGATAGGCGCTTGCGTTATTATTTTATTTATAGTAATTTAAGTAAGCGACCAGTAAGTGCCCATGGTTGTGTGAGGATAGGCGCTTGCGGTAACATTTTATTAATCATAATGTTCGGTATTGAGTTTAAATATAGGCGGGCTTAATGCTTAGTATTTACAGGTTGAGCTGACATCAATATGCGCCAATGAGAGTCCAACTCGTCGTGTCTCTCTGACCAATTAGACTTGCCTGTAAAGAGAGCTGCGGCTCTCTCGTCGAGAGACAACGCGCGATCGTCAGTCCGCTTCTGACCGTCGAGCCCCCCGCGCACCTCAAGCGAGATCTCTATAGTCAATCTAGTATCTCGTTTTACTTTCGTTTTGTGAATTGTAACTATCTTATTGTATTCCAGCGAGCGTTCTATCGTTTTTGTTGGATCTTTCGTTCTATTGCAACAGTTTGATTCTCTCTATAAACTCACTCAGCGTTCAGGCATTAAGTAAATTTATATGGCTTAGTATATTAGTCGTAAGCCTGATAGAATTTCGGAAGTTAAAAGTGTAAAATAAATAGGAAGTTTTATAATAAATTGATTATTTCTATTAATTCAGCGCTTCCAATTCTTGTGTGTTAACCTTACGATAAAATATTTGAGAATCCCTTAGATTCAAACCTTAATACAAAACATTTAGCGCCCGAATAGGGACCTGACGCGAGTGAGTGTGAAGTGAACGAGAACGCGTATCGCCATTAAGCACGCGGCTATAAGAAATATAGCCATCTTGATTGCCGCGCTCGACTTTTCTCTTCTCCTTTTCGTAGGTGTTGTTCTCTCACGCAAACACACACATTTCGCGCGGCTCGAACAAAGCCTTCGGCCATTTTGCGCCAGCAGTTAAAGTTCAGTGTGCACCGTCTCTTCTCGCGAAAAGATAAAGACGGCCCCCTCCCCCCTTTGAGTACTTCGAGCTCGACGGACGGACGGATGGCAGGGCCACACTGGGCTGGCCTTGTTAAAAAAAAAAAGTAAGTAGTAAGTGCAAGGCTTATTTCTCTCTGTCTGCATGAAGCGCTTCTTGATCTCAACGACTTTGTCGCTACCGCCACGTGCTACGTGACCGCCTGCTTCTGCCGGCCCCTCTACGTCGTCCACGCTACTACGTGCTGCGTGCTCGTCCCCCTGCACGCCCTGCCGACGACGTCGCTACCGCCAAGTGCTACGTGACCGCCTGCTTCTGCCGGCCCCTCAACGTCGTCCACGCTACTACGTGCTGCGTGCTCGTCCCCCTGCACGCCCTGCCGATGACGTCGCTGCCGCCACGACGCTGCTGCGTCGCCTGCTGCCTCAGCGCAGGCCCACAAGGACAACGCCACTGCTACGTTGCCTGCTCCTCTGCAGGCCCGAGGAAGTGCCGCCTGCTCGTCTGTAGGCCCGGAAGATAACGTTGCATGTGTCACTGCATTTTGCTGCCGCTGCATAATTGAAATTAGAGACACTAAGTTTTATTTTAAATTCCTAGATAAGACGCGTGACAGTTCTAGGTTAAGTTGCTTTCCGTAACAATCGAGTTAAAGTCAAATCTCAAATTATCTACGTAGTTTTGCTGTTTCTCTGGTCATTTAAGTAGGAAAGTAAAGATGGAAGCCTTGTACCAAATTTAAACTCAGATATTTAATAAAATTGGCAGTTATGATGAGAACTTTAAAAAATCCGGTTCCGAAAAAATTATCAGAGGAAGGGCTGAAGCATGCCTTGAAGCACTAGATAAGTGCATAGCGCGGTTTAGCGAAATCCATGATCAGATAATGTCGCTTACTACGTTAGATGAAAATCATTTGTATTTTTCTACTGAGTTACCGGATATTGCAGATGACTTATATTATTCGGTAAAAGGGGACTTTTTAGAGTTTATTAGGAGAGCTAGTGCTCAAGATCCATTACCACCAGCCCCATTACCAACACCCGGTGCTCAGCCTACTAGCAATTCTTACTTGACGCGTATAGAACTACCGAAGTTTACAGGAAAATATTCCGAATGGGAAAATTTCCGTGATACATTTCGCTCTCTTGTGCATAGAAAAATTGATTTCGACAACATTATCAAGTACCACCAGCTGCGAGTTCATTTGAGTGGTGACGCTTTCGATATAATTATATCTGTTTCTTTGGCAGAGGATCAATATCCATTAGCTTGGCAAACTCTACTTGATTATTATGATAGTCAGCGTCGCCTTGTAACTAATTACTTAAATCGTTTGATAACTTGTAAACCCATGAAGTCGGACTCCTGTTTAGAATTGAAAGGCATTAGTAAGGAGATGATTAGCACAATCGATTCATTAAATGCATTAGGCCGTGATTTAGGCACAGGGGATCTCTATATTGCTCTAACAGTTAGTAAGTTTGACATCACAACTAATAAAGATTGGAGTAAATTCCTAGGTAGTAGCACTCAACCACCCACTCTAATCCAATTACGGGAATTTATCTCTTCACAAATTATAACTCTTGAATCGTGTGAAACAGTTAGTTCAAACCCTAAGCCACCACTTTCGAAACCTGTCCCGAAGGCATCTGCTTCTGTCTCTCATCAGTCCAATGTTTCCGATTCAGCTGATAGTCAGGGAGTAGTTAAGAATGTCCTGGTATGTTCAGAGTGTAAAGGTGATCATACTCTTTCTAAATGTGAACGTTTCAAAAGAATGGAGGTTGATGCTCGAAAGGAGTCAAAGATAGATTGTGTTTTAAATCTCTAGGTCATCATCAGTTGAAGGATTGCAAGTCCAAGTATAGTTGTCTTAATTGTAAGAGAAGGCATCATACCCTCTTACATATTCCAAAGCCTGTTCAGAGTCAAGAGCCTCATGATACTCACTTAAATTCTAGCAAAGCCAATTACTCTAAAGGTAGTGACTCTGAGCAGACTTCTCATCATACTGATTCGTCTGTTTCTCGTGGTCTTGGTGTATTACTGGCTACTGCTCGAGTTTACGTCACTGGACCTACTGGTGTACGTTTGTTAGTTAGAGCTCTTATAGATCAATGCTCGCAGTGTTCTATCATAACTGATTCGCTCTGTGATATTCTAAGGCCAAAGCGTCAACACTCGAGTATTCCCATCTCGGAAGCAGGTGGTACTTTAGTTGGAGTTGCTAAAGGTATAGTTAGTTTTAATGTTCGACCTAGGTTCCCCTCGCAATTCCAGTTGTTAGTCGAAGCGAAAGTATTGCCACAGGTTTCGTCGTATCAGCCTCCTACTAGTCGATTTAAATCAAATTTAAACTATTTAGACAATCTTGAATTAGCCGATCCTCAATATACAAGTTCAGATAAAATTGATTTCATTTTTGGAGCTGCAGTTCATGCTCAAATTGTAGAAGAAGGGGTTAGAAAGGGTAATACCAATGAGCCCATAGCGTCGCGTACTCTACTTGGTTGGATTCTGTCTGGCTCTATTGGTTCTGCTAAGCCTTCTTCTAGTTCTCAATTCTCGCTTCACTGTTCCGATGAGTCTCAGTTGTTACCTATGCTTCAGCGCTTTTGGGAAGTAGAAGAGCTCTCTATTAGGAAGTTAAAAGTGTAAAATAAATAGGAAGTTTTATAATAAATTGATTATTTCTATTAATTCAGCGCTTCCAATTCTTGTGTGCTAACCTTACGATAAAATATTTGAGAATCCCTCAGATTCAAACCTAAATACAAAACGAATCCCTTAGATTCAAACCTTAATACAAAACATTTAGCGCCCGAATAGGGACCTGACGCGAGTGAGTGTGAAGTGAACGAGAACGCGTATCGCCATTAAGCACGCGGCTATAAGAAATATAGCCATCTTGATTGCCGCGCTCGACTTTTCTCTTCTCCTTTTCGTAGGTGTTGTTCTCTCACGCAAACACACACATTTCGCGCGGCTCGAACAAAGCCTTCGGCCATTTTGCGCCAGCAGTTAAAGTTCAGTGTGCACCGTCTCTTCTCGCGAAAAGATAAAGACGGCCCCCTCCCCCCTTTGAGTACTTCGAGCTCGACGGACGGACGGATGGCAGGGCCACACTGGGCTGGCCTTGTTAAAAAAAAAAAGTAAGTAGTAAGTGCAAGGCTTATTTCTCTCTGTCTGCATGAAGCGCTTCTTGATCTCAACGACTTTGTCGCTACCGCCACGTGCTACGTGACCGCCTGCTTCTGCCGGCCCCTCTACGTCGTCCACGCTACTACGTGCTGCGTGCTCGTCCCCCTGCACGCCCTGCCGACGACGTCGCTACCGCCAAGTGCTACGTGACCGCCTGCTTCTGCCGGCCCCTCAACGTCGTCCACGCTACTACGTGCTGCGTGCTCGTCCCCCTGCACGCCCTGCCGACGACGTCGCTACCGCCAAGTGCTACGTGACCGCCTGCTTCTGCCGGCCCCTCAACGTCGTCCACGCTACTACGTGCTGCGTGCTCGTCCCCCTGCACGCCCTNATCTGGTCGCTATGTGGTCAAATTACCCTTCAGAGTTGATCCTAACAGTTATCAAAAGTCTCGCGAGGATTCTAGGTTTTTATCGTTGTCAATGATGGCTAATTTAGAACGTAGATTTCACCGATATCCCGACTTATCTACTTTGTACATAAATTTTATGCAGGAATATCGAGATCTAGATCACATGTCTACACTGGATGATGCTTTAGTCAAAGAGTGTTGGTTCATGCCGCATCACGGTGTAATTGAGATATCGAGTACCACCACTAAACTTCGAACGGTCTTCAATGGCTCTGCCAAGACTCCTGGAGGTACTTCACTTAACGAATTGCTTCATGCAGGCCCTAATCTGTTACCTTGTCTTCCTGAGCTTATTTCTTCTTGGCGAAATTACGAATTCGCATTTACTTCAGATATTGAGAAAATGTTCCGCCAGATCTGGATAAATGAATCAGATAGGAAATTTCAGTGCATCTGCTGGCGGTTTCAGTCTTCAGAGCCTATGCAGATTTACACGTTAAAAACCGTTACTTACGGTTTCGCTTGTTCACCCTTTTTGGCGTCTCGAGTCTTGAAACAGTTAGCTATAGACTATAGTGAGGAATACCCAATGGCTTCTTCGGTGTTAAGTAACGAAATCTACATGGATGACGTCCTCTCGGGAGGTCATACTTTGAAGGAGGCTCTAGACAAAAGAGACCAAGTGATAAAGGTCACTACTCTTGGTGGTTTCTCGCTACATAAGTGGTCTGCTAATAATTTGAAGCTTTTACACGGAGTGTACACTCTATTGTTGGCCTACTCGCCTTCGGTTTCCTTGAGTGAAGTAGATTCATCGGTTTAGGTGCTAGGTATAGTTTGGTTTCCGTTTGAAGACGTTTTTCGTTACCGTGTACACGATCCTCCTGTTCAAGATAAATGGTCCAAAAGATCTATACTCTTTTACATAGCTCGTTTCTACGACCCCCATGGTTGGCTCTCTCGAGTAATCGTGTATGCCAAAATTCTTTTACAATTGTTATGGTTAGTCAAAATAGATTGGGACTCTCCAGTTCCAAAGGAAATAACGGATAAATGGTTACCTTGGTTGTCGTAAATTCTAGAACTGAATAACATTAGCATACCTAGATGGAATAGTTTCAATCCGCAAGTTAATTCGATTGATTTACATGGTTATGCTGATTCCTCAAAATCAGCTTACGCTGCCGTATTGTACACTCGTATGGTTCAAGGAGATCAAGTTAGCGTGTCGCTCCAGTTAGCCAAGACAAAAGTAGCTCCACTAAAAGTTCTAAGTATTCCGCGGCTCAAACTCTGCGCTGCTCAACTGTTAGCCAAACTTACCCACCTATTTAGTCTTAATTCAAAACTATGCATCGATTATATTCATTTATGGTCAGACTCCAAAGATGTTTTGTATTGGTTACACGCTCAACCCTCCAAATGGCCTACTTTCATAGCTAATCGTTGTAGTGACATTCATCAGTTAGTTTCAAATGCTTACTGGCATCACGTATCGGGTAAATTNCTATGCATCGATTATATTCATTTATGGTCAGACTCCAAAGATGTTTTGTATTGGTTACACGCTCAACCCTCCAAATGGCCTACTTTCATAGCTAATCGTTGTAGTGACATTCATCAGTTAGTTTCAAATGCTTACTGGCATCACGTATCGGGTAAATTAAATCCAGCAGACATTGCCTCTCGAGGTGTCTTGCCATCTCAGTTGAGCATAGATTCGGAATGGTTCTGTGGTCCTAGTTTACTACACGAGCTTCACCCCAAGTATCGCGACTTTCAAACTCCGTTGACAGTTTCAACTGATGAATTAGTTCATACCGTTAGTCACCATCAAACTCAATCAACTTCTACTTGGGATCTCTACTACCAATACTCTAATTTAGATAAACTATTACGTGTGACTGCATATTGTTTAAGATTTTTTTACAAATTACTAGCTCGTGTTGAAAAAAAAACTCAGTTATTGTTTCTTAAGGTAGATGCTATTGTTTCCCGTGCAAATTTATCGCTTACAGTTTCTGAACTCACGAATTCTAAATTGCTAATGGTCTACCTTCATCAAACTACTCATTTCCCTTTAGAGTTAAAGTTGTTATCAGAATCTAGTGAGCAAGTAGTTAGTTTACCATCCAAAACTTCTTTAATTAAGCTCAAACCATTTCTTAAAGATGGTTTGATTAGGGTTGGGGGTCGTTTGAGCCATTCTTCGTTAGATTTCAATGTTAAATACCCGTTAATCCTAGCCTCGAGTGACCATCTCACCAAATTGATAATAGAACAAGCTCATAAGATTACTTTACACGGCGGACCTCAACTAACATTAAGTACTTGTCGTCGTGAGTATTGGATTCTACGTGGTCGTCAAAGTGTTCGCTCTGTTACTACCAAGTGTTTTACTTGTAAACGATATTCTGCTGTAACTCCAAGTCAGCTTATGGCCGACCTGCCTAGCGCTCGAGTCGTACCTTCCGCAGCCTTTCTTAAGGCAGGTGTAGATTACGCCGGTCCGCTGTCGGTCAGACTTTCTAAAACCAGGGGTAAAGGCACGACTAAAGGCTACGTGGCTGTTTTCGTTTGTATGAACACTCGCGCTGTTCATTTAGAAATAGTTGAAGACTACAGTTCAGAAGGATTTATAGCCGCCTTTCAGCGTTTTATAGCGAGACGAGGTCATTGCTCGGATCTTTTTAGTGATAGGGGCACAAATTTTGTCGGCGCTGATAAGGAACTGAGAAGTAATTGGCTTGAACTTTGCAAATCGGCCGACCTAATTCACAAGTTAGAGATATTAAAAACCAATTGGCATTTCAATGCCCCAGCCGCTCCGCAAATGGGGGGTTTATGGGAGGCAGCTGTCAAATCAGCTAAGAAACATTTGAAGAGAGTTGTTGGTGAGCAGGTTTTCACATTTATAGAGTATTTAACATTACTTTATAAAATAGAGGTATGTCTGAATTCGCGCCCTATATCTCCTTTAACAAGTGATCCCCGCGATCTTGATTGCCTAACTCCTGCTCATCTTATCAATTTGCGTCCAGTTACCATATTGCCGGAAGTAAACCTTACAGATGTTAAAATCTCCTGTTTACACAGATGGAAGCTTATATCGCAATTAAACCAGAGTTTTTGGCATCGATGGTCAGAAGAGTATTTAACATCACTGCAAAAAAGGTCAAAGTGGGTAGTCCCGAAGCGTTCGTTTCAGGTGAATGATTTAGTTCTAATTCGTAGTGAAAACAATCCCCCCGGATGTTGGCCTTTAGCTCGCTTCATTGAAATATTTCCGGGCTCTGATTCAAAAGTAAGAATTGTAAAATTAAAAACCTCGGCGACTACTCTAATAAGGCCTATTACAAAGTTAGTTTTATTAATTGAAAGCGAAAGGTTAGAATCATAAATAGTTTGTTAGTTCTATTGATTAGTTGCGTTTACAAAAACTATATTCAGTCTTTTTTGCTACTTTAGTGGATTGCTTGATTTATTGTTTGCTTCTCCCCTAGTCGAAGCAAAGGCGGGGGAAAATGTTCGGTATTGAGTTTAAATATAGGCGCGCTTAATGCTTAGTATTTACAGGTTGAACTGACATCAATATGCGCCAATGAGAGTCCAACTCGTCGTGTCTCTCTGACCAATTAGACTTGCCTGTAAAGAGAGCTGCGGCTCTCTCGTCGAGAGACAACGCGCGATCGTCAGTCCGCTTCTGACCGTCGAGCCCCCAGCGCACCTCAAGCGAGATCTCTATAGTCAATCTAGTGTCTCGTTTTACTTTCGTTTTGTGAATTGTAACTATCTTATTGTATTCCAGCGAGCGTTCTATCGTTTTTGTTGGATCTTTCGTTCTATTGCAACAGTTTGATTCTCTCTATAAACTCACTCAGCGTTCAGGCATTAAGTAAATTTATATGGCTCAGTATATAAGTCGTTAGCCTAATAGAATTTAGGAAGTTAAAAGTGTAAAATAAACAGGAAGTTTTATAATAAATTGATTATTTCTATTAATTCAGCGCTTCCAATTCTTGTGTGCTAACCTTACGATAAAATATTTGAGAATCCCTCAGATTCAAACCTCAATACAAAACACATAAATAATTAAAGCAACCAGTAAGCTCCCCTGGTTGTGTGGGGATAGGCGCTTGCGTTATTATTTTATTTATAGTAAATAAGTAAGCGACCAGTTAGCCCCCCGAGTTGCCAGGTGATTGTCGCTTGCCTTATTACTTTATTTATTGTAAAATAACTAACCAACCAGTGGGCGCCCCAGGTTGTGTGGGGATAGGCGCTTGCGTTATTATTTTATTCATAGTAAATAAGTAAGCAACCAAAAAGTGCCTCTGGTTGTAAGGAGATAGGCACTTGCGTTATTATTTTATTCATGTAAATAAGTAAGCAACCAGTAAGTGCCCCTGGTTGAAAGGGGATAGGCGCTTGCGTTATTATTTTATTCATAGTAAATAAGTAAGCAACCAGTAAGTGCCCCTGGTTGAAAGGGGATAGGCGCTTGCGGTATTATTTCATCAATCATAAATAATTAAAGCAACTAGTAAGCTCCTCCTTATATCTTAGTTGCCTGATTTTTAAATGTTTCTTTTGATACAGAGATAACTTAGAGTATCAATAAATAGAAGAAAAGTTAGCACAACTCGAGGATGACCACGAGAGATAAAATGTTAAAATTATGTTCACTAACCAGAAGATTTTTTGTAAATTAATTTTGTACTTTCGTACGAAATATTTTTTTTCCACCGTATCAACATAGACATTTTAAATTTTTTATCGAGGTCAAATTTGTGTTAAGTTAACAGAAACCTACCTATAAACAGCTTTTTTTTACAATTTCGCGGTTTTTTTTTTATTTTTTTGGCCGCATGAAATTTGCATTTTTTAATTTTAACTTTTCATTTCGAATTTGCGTTTAGCAACCACAAATATCCCAATAGACTAATTTTTGACTAATATGGCCGGTTTGTTCATGCACTCAGCCGCCATATTGGATCCGCCAGTTTAAATTATGAACTAAAAATATTAAATTCATGTTCAGCAGACCAGAAAACTCCTATGGACTAAGGCTGCGTATAGATGGAGTCAGGGAGTCTGCCCCACCTGAAAAAGAAAGACGGAATTTCATGTATGATTACTTCTGTAATACCTTCAGGAAAGCCATGTGGTATTACATATGGTTTTACGTATGACATTACATAAGGGGTTTTAGCTTGGTGATGCCATACGTAATTTCATTTGAAAAAACACATAGAATTACAAATTGGAGGAAGGAAAAAAATTTTTTCATCTAGAAATAACTGCAGATTATTGTAATGCGTCATTTACTGTGAACTGCTAATTTTACCATCTGGATGATAACTCCAAAACAAGGGGCTTCAAGTTATATTTCAGGAATGAAAAAAAAAATTGAAAAATTAAATTTTTTTCTATAGAAGTAAAATCAGCTGAACCCCCTTGTTTGGGAGTTATCATCCCGATGGTAAGACAAANTGGATGATAACTCCAAAACAAGGGGCTTCAAGTTATATTTCAGGAATGAAAAAAAAAATTGAAAAATTAAATTTTTTTCTATAGAAGTAAAATCAGCTGAACCCCCTTGTTTGGGAGTTATCATCCCGATGGTAAGACAAATTTTAAACCGCAAATAGCTTATTATGGTATTTTGCAGTTATTTCCAGATGATAGAAATTTCTTCTTTTTCCAACTAGTAATTCCATGTGTTTTTCCATATGGAATTACATATGGCATCACCAAGCTCAAACCCTTTATGTAATGCCATATGTAAAACCATGTGTAATGCCATATGGCTTCCCTGAAAGTATTACAGAAGTACCATCAGCGTTGGGATAAGAAGATTCACGCAGTGGAAATTACGGTCAGTAACATGAAAGTTACTGTCACTAACATACCAATCTATAGAGTTTTGATGAAGCGAATAGGCAGAGAAGGAGGGCGCATTCCAGAGGTTCTCACCGGTGCTCCCAAATGTGACTAGCAAACATGTGAGAAATAACACAAGCGCCAATCACCACATAACCCGCGACGATTACTGGTCGCTTCAATTATTTATAAAAAATATTATAATAAAACAAGCGCCAATCCCCACACAAGCTAGGGCGCTTACTGGTTGCTTAGTTATTTTACAATAAATAAAGTAATAAGGCAAGCGACAATCACCTGGCAACTCGGGGGGCTAACTGGTCGCTTACTTATTTGACAATAAATGTAATACTAAGACAAGCGCCAATCTCCACACAACCCGGGGCGCTTATCTTAGTAATTACTGGCCGCTGTAATAATTGATAAAATTTATCAAGTAACAACGCGAGTGCTCAAGACCTGACTATTCAGGGTACTCACTGCTTACTACTGGTTGCGCTTAATATACGCTTAAATTGTTATTTGATGCTTTTTAATAATAATTAATGCTACCAGTAGGCACCCTGGTTTGTGTGGGAATTGGCGCTTGTCTTATTATTATATTTATGATAAATAGTTAAAGCGACCAGTAAGCGTCCCAGATCGTGTGGGGATTGGTGCTTGTCTTATTATGATATTTATTATAAATAATTGAAGCGACCAGTAAGCGCCCTGAGTTGTGTGGGGATTGGCGCTTGTATTATTTCTCACATGTTTGCTAGTCACATTTGGGAGCACCGGTGAGAACCTCTGGAATGCCCCCTCTTCCTCTGCCCTTTCGCTGTTTCAACACTCTATAGATTGGTCTGTTAGTGAAAGTAATTTTCATGTTACTGACACGTAATTTTCACTGCGGGAATCCTCATAACTTAAGGCTGGTTTTCATTTGATTTTAGAAAGATTGCCAGTCAGGCAGACTTCCAGACTCCATCTAAACGCAGCCTAATTTTTGTACAATTTTGGTACAATTTTGGGAGCTATTCACATAGACATTTTTTGCTTATTTCATTGTGAACGTTCATATTGAAAATGGGGTTCCACTGTTCCGCTAAACTCAAATTGAGTGAACAGACTGAGCAGACCTATACTGTGTTATCTGTCAGTCAACATAGTTGCGACCATAGGCTTTGTTGGCATTGTTGCCTGATGGAAAAAGAGGTATAGATCTGTTCAGTCTGTTCACTCACTTTGAGTTTAGTGGAACAGTAGAACTTCCTTTTCAATGGAGCTATTCACATAGACATTTTTTGCTTATTTCATTGTGAACGTTCATATTTAAAAGGGGGTTCCACTGTTGCGCTAAACTCAAAGTGAGTGAACAGACTGAACAGACCTATACCTCTTTTTCCATCAGGCAACAAAGCCTATGGTCGCAACTATGTTGACTGACAGAGAACACAGTATAGGTCTGCTCAGTCTGTTTACTCAATTTGAGTTTAGCGGAACAGTGGAACCCCCTTTTCAATTTGAACGTTCACAATCAAATAAGCAAAAAATGCTATTTGAATAGCTCCTTGGTCAAATTTTAATTTTTTTGGCCGTCATATTGGATCCGCCATCTTGACTTTTAGATGCCAATGCCAAATTCGAATTCGGCAACCCATTAAAAGCCAATATAGACACTATATTTGGAACAAAAATGTCATCTGTTTCTTAAATATCAATTGATCTTTCGAAGAGAACGCTGTAGGGGGTGCCATTGGGGGGTGGTTTTTACCCCCAATTCACTTTTTTTTCAGTTCGGACCAATTTCCCTGTATCCTGTTATCTTTAAGCTTGAAGCTCTAAAAAGAATCATCTTGATTGGTATCATGTAAAATGCAGCTGCCGCTATTTAACCATTAAATTTAATCATGTAATTACTTTACAAGCACATAATGAGAAGCTATTCACGTACCTGTTCAATCATTTCTTACATAGCTCCAACTACAAAGTAATTAGAATTTCGTAATGAGCTACAGCTAATTTTTTAACGTCTAATTTAATTAATTTGTCCGTTTATTACATTGAACGCTTCAACATTTACTGTTGTGCTTCATTTCATTTTACTTAACCCCTAAGGTATTTACTCAGAAACTACTATGACGGGAGATTTCCGCACTGTTTCATTAAGAGTTGTGTGAAATATTTTTGTGGTGTAATTATCTGCGCCTTACCATAAGCTTCAAAAGAGTAAGTCTAGCTTTGAGTACATGAACTTGTACATGGTTAAACTTTATTTTTACCCTCTTTTTCTTAATGTCAGCGATACAAATTTATATTTATACTCAAATTTTTTTATTTCTGTGCAAGCTCTTACAAGTACTTAGTTCCTTGTTCAAGATGATGGAAGAACAAATGTTTGATTTGAAAAGAGGTGGAATGATGTATAAAGCAGCTGGTGCTGCTCAATTACGCAAGTATGGCCAATACTTTGAATATTTGGAAAATACATGCTGGCAAGTGTCTCCAGCTCTCGAGTACATTGCTGAAGGGCCAGTCAGACTCACCTACAAAATTAATGAAGACATAAATGTATCATCTCTTGCAGAAACTGGAAATACATTTTTTTCTAAAATACTTACTACTGTTTGTGGAACATGTAGAGAGGTAAGTCTGTTAATGATTATCCATTTTAGGTATATCAAGTTAGCAGCATCAAGTAACAACTTCTACAACAAAATTTATGGACAATTTTTTTCTCATTTCTTTCTGATTCGTTACTCAAAAACGAAATTTGTTACTACTTCCAGAACTTAATTATAAAAAGTTTTGCTAGCTTGATATCACTTTTCTTGACTTAAATGGGCTAGAGCAAATCTGGAAGAAGGAAATTTGTTGCTTGTTTGATGCCTCAAAGACGATCATACTATTAGATTTTGGTTAGTTAAATGTTTCGTGAAAGGAAAATATTGTTATGATTTTTATATCTTTGCTCGGATTCCTGTGTAGTAATTTTTTCAATAGGCTTAAATCCTATCTTGAAAGTATAATGGCCTCAAAGTGAAGTCTCAATAGCGTTGGCTACTGCCTACAGGCTTACATTTGATGGTGCAACTAGCCATCAAATAAAAATTAGGTAAAAGTATCAATGCTAACATGGACTTAAAACTTCTGTTACTATAGTGAAACAGCATATATTTCAGTAACTGATGAGCAAAAAAAATGTTTATTTAATATAATTTATATAATACTTCCCAGGCAAAACAAAATAATTGGAAATTTCTTGATCATGAGAAAAAATCGCTTTCAACAACAACATCATTTAAAATAACGTAAAAATTTATAGGCCATGTTGATAGTGATTTAAAGTCATAACTTTTTTCTCTGGTTGTTTAGGTCGTAAGTTGTCATTGTTTTCGTATAATTTCTTATTGCTGGTTAGGTGTGCCCAGTGACACATAGTGATGGCCAAGTGTGGTACTGAGAAAACCAGGTGATAGGAATGAAATCATCATTACACACCACTTAAAAATAACAAAAAGACAAAATAAAAGGCTTTGAGAGGAGAGAAAAAAGTGTCTTTAAGTGCTTGAGTTTACAATAAAAATGTTGAGTTAGTTTCTTCGGTTGTCTCCTGATCATATTAAAAAAAAAAACGGCGAATAAACCTGCACTAGTTAGGTTACGTTTTCGTAAACATTCGGAGCTGAAGCTCTTTGAGACGGTCAGTGACTGTCAGTAATCATTTTTAACGCCACTTTTTACGAGAATACAACCTAATAAGTGTAGGTTTATTCGTTGTTTTCATTTAATATGATCACGAGACAACCGAAAAAACTAACTCTACCTAGTTATCGTAGATTCAAGCACTTAAAAACTTTTTTCTTCTTCTGTCAAAGCCTTTTAATTTGTTTTTTTGTTATTTTAAAGTGGTTTGTGATGATAATTTCATTCCAATCACCTGGTTATCTCAGTACCATACTTGGCCACTATGTGTCATTAGGCAAACCTAACAAGGCGAATCTTTACTATCCATGATTTTTTTTTTTATTTCCTGATAACCTTCATTTTCCTCAAGATGCAAGTCTTTTGTGCAGGCACCTTGCATAATTCTCCTCAGACGACTCAGTCGTCATCAATCATATTGGCTGTGCAAACCTAGTGAGCTATGGAATTCTCAGGACTAGAGGTTCATAGACATATAAAAAAAGCTTAAAAAGCGGTCATCGCTTATTAGCAGGGATGGGGATGGGTAAATCTGGTCAGAAGGTATTTCCGACACGTCACGTGTAATTTGTGTATTTTTTGTAATTTATGTCATTTACGTAATAAATGACACGGGTTTCACAAAAGTGAATTTTGGGTTATGAAAACTTAATAAGACATACGTATATGCTCGTGTAATAATTTAAAATTTATAGTTAGTTTTAAAATAAGTATAAAATCGATCATACACTTTCAATATAACATTTTTTTTCTGCTACGTCTGTTAGTAAAGTTAAAATTGTACCCAGATTTAAAGATAATGAATCCAGAAAGGTGAGATATTTTAAAACAAACATTTATCATCACATTTACACGTCAACTAGAAAGCGTTTTTGTAATTTTCCCTAAATTAATTTGTTTGCTATTTAGAAAATACAGTATTTTCGCGATACGTGTCGTAAATTCACTAAATGTAATCAACTCATTTCTTATGGCGTGTCGTAAACATAAAAAATGACGTGTCTTGAATTGAATTTACGACGTGACTTAAATGACACGCCCATCCATGCTTATTAGCAGCTGAGGCGGTGAGGCTCGCGTAGAAAGAGAGGAAAGACAAGGGCAGTTAGTATTTCCCTCTTGCACAGTCACGGAGTGGGGTCGTGAGAGTACAGGCAGTAGTATGCATCGGTGCATGATGTAAGTAGATAAGGTGTGTGATGGCGCAACTTTCCGATGAGTCCGAGTTTCTCCAATAGCGTGCCTCATCCGCACATCGTCCATATTGGGATTTAAGCCAATCCGCATGTAGCGGTATTTCAATAATATGTGATTGTCAATAGTTTCAAAAAGGTTTTAGCTTACATTGCAATGTTAAAAGTGATGCTTAAAAATTGTTGCTGGAAACGAGAAAACATCATTTAACAGTTATTCCGAATAGTGATGAGACAATAAAAATTAACTATTGCCGGATTTAAGAAAGAAATTATTTGAAGTAAGTCATGTACGTATTTATTGTTAAAAAAATCATCAATAAGTATATCATAATTTTTTTTGAATTAATGAATGAATTTTGGTTGATTGTGATTGTTCTCATCCAGTTATAAAAATATAAACAGCCCGCAATGCAATAACAAAAATAAATAAAAATTTAAAAATTGATAACACATTCACTCTACTATTAGATAATATTTTAAAGGGATCATTACTTATGTACAACAATAGTTATGAAATCACAAAGCTACTAATGTTTTAAAGGCTGCTGTATTCAGTGAGGCTTCAAGCTGTACTTTTCTTTTAGTTGCACATCTGAGATTACTACATGAGATTAAATTATTTCTTAGATAAAAAAAAAATCCTGTAAAAAAATACAGTGTCTCCTGTAGGTACGTATATGGAGTCTGATTTTATTGTTGGAACAGCTGATTTGGATAAAACAAATATATTTATATCACCAGGGACGATTAAGTGTTATGGTTTTTTCTCGTTGTCTTGAGTGAAATGTACAGAGCATACCCTACCTACGATAGAAAAATGTTTGACTGTTAATTTATTCGTGTAAAAATATTAATATATAAGTGACCACGATGGCACATTGTAAATATTAATTTATTACACCACTCGTGTTCTCAAGTAAATGTCATGAGTGCATGTATATCTTAAAGTAAACAAATCAGACTAAACAATTCCAACATGGCGAAATTACGGATGTGCAGCGAAGGAACAGTCTCAATTTGAATCGGTTAAGTCACACACCTTATGTACTTACATCATGATATTCTTGATCATATGATTGCTCGCTGCTTGACCCTGGCAAGTCGCTCTCTCTAAACGAGTTATGATTGGTAAGTCGAGTTCTTAACTTGTCAGGGCCAACTAATCATAGCTCGGTTGGATCGAGAGAGAAAGGTAGTCCTGCACTCAGTTACCCTGTCACCTTCTGAGCCGTTTGCATGCTCAGTGATGCTCACTCCCATAGACATGTAAGAAATAAGGACTGCTTAATTGTTTTTATGAACAGTGCTGAAGCACAAATAGAAGGAGACGCATTATCTAACATGGGTATATGTCTCTCTTGCACTTTCCCACCTTTAGTAATGAATGACAAATACAGATACCCACGTTCGATGTTATGGCTCCTTCTACTTGTGCTTCAGCGCCGTACATGAACATAAGAACGAGCAGTCTCCTTTTCTCATATGCTATGCTCACTCCTGTATAGTATATACTATATGTTCCAAGTAACTACTCTACAGTTCTAAACTTCTCTGCAGTACTCTATTCATAGAGTTATTATAGATAGAGTAGGCAAGTCACCGATTCTTCTGTAAGTGGAAGCGTTAACACGATAAAAAGAGATGCAACATCGAGCTGCCTCTCTATCTCTCTCTTTGGTCGCTACTGATTGCCTATGCCTACATATACGTAAAACATCTGTAGCCAATCAGCAGCAAGCACAGAGAGAGATAGAAAGGTAGCTCGATGTTGCATCTATTTTTAACGTGTTAACGCTTCCACTTACAGGCTTGCCTACTCTGTCTATAATATCTCTATGACTCTATTCTATCACACAAAAAGGTTCACACTATAAAGGACAGTGCAGTTGGCACCTTAATACCTCGTGCGCATTTGCCTTGTAAGGTAGCGTGTACTGCGCAGTATTTTTACGTACGAGCGGTATTTTTACGGGACGGCACGTCTACCGTTCTGTATATACTACACGGCGTTGGGTTAGCAGCGTTGGGTTAGGGGGATTCGATATCGAAACTTTTTCCCTAGATCATGTATATAGCTATACGTTCCGTAGAGCTGACAGCACAGCAAAGAAGAGGCATTGCTAAAGACACGTGGAATTAAAAATTGTGATATTAATAACACAAACGCCTATCACCTAGTGACCCGGGGCGCTTACTGGCCTCTCTAGTAAATAATAAAGTATTAATTATTAACACAAGCGCCTATCACCTAGTGACCCGGGGTGCTTACTGGCCTCTCTATTGAATAATAAAGTATTTATTATTAACACAAACGCCTATNTAGCTAAAAAATCACAGAGCTTTCAATGTTTTAAAGGCTGCTGTATTCAGTGAGGCTTTAAGCTGTACTTTTCTTTTAGTTGCACATCTGAAATTACTACATGAGATTAAATTATTTCTTGGATAAGAAAAACCCTGTAAAAAGATACAGTGTCTCCTGTACGTATATGGAGTCTGATTTTATTGTTGGAACTGCTGATTTGGATAAAACAAATATATTTGTATCACCAGGGACGATTAAGTGTTCTGGCTTTTTCTCGTTGTCTTGAGTGAAATGTACAGAGCATACCCTACTTACCTACGATAGAAAAATGTTTGGCTGTTTATTTATTCGTGTAAAAATATTTATATATAAGTGACCACGATGGTATATTGTAAATATCAATTTATTACACCACTCGAGTTCTCAAGTAAGTGTCATGAGTGCATGTATATCTTAAGGGATTTGGGTTGCAATTCACTTGAGGACGGAAATATTTTTTTAAAAATATATGTTGTAAAGAAACATTGCGTGGATGTAGTCACCTAATTTGAGTACAATCGCGTCTACAGATTTCGAGAAAAAAATTCATGAAGTGTCCCTTTTTCGTCGTCTTTAACATGGGCTCAAATCTAAGTTATCAAAAAAGTTGTTAAAAAATACCTATTACTCTTGACATAGCGATGAGAATGTTTTGAAAAACTGATATGGTATTTATGACAACTTTATTCGTATATGTGCAAAGTTTCAGTAAAATCGAATCTGCAGTTATGGAGATATTGGCACAAACGTAAACAAATTTGTTTTCTGCTTGTATGCTTCATACATGTGGCAGACAAGGACGCACTGAGTGCACTGTTTGCTGTCAGCTCGACTTTTTACGTGGCGTGATAGCTTTTCACAAAATCACTTCTAGAAGTGGTTCTACTCAAAATTATTATCTCAAACTTGGTATAGGCCTTAATGAGACTTTATACTTTAATAATATACCGTTAAAACCTCTAATTTCGAAAATTTATAGCACACTTTTATTAAAAGACAATCAGATTGACTATACTGTTTACTCCTTATTTTTTATCTCACATAGAGAAAGTATTTAGGCTATTTGACTAATACGATAAGAAACGAGATACCTTGAAGAATGTTCTGTAATTTTTTTGAAGTATTTTTCTTAAACGTTAACGAGTACTGGCGAGTAGAACACAAATGCATTTTCCGTAATCAAAAGGGCGAATATTTTTAGGCTAGGTTAGTACAGCAGATTTAAGCACGGTGCCTTATGAACATACACGTGCTCCCCTTCACCTATCCGCGGGAGCGATCCAACTCCCAGCAGACTACATAATTCCAACATGGCGGAATTACGGATGTGCGCAGGAACAGTCTCAATTTGAGGGTGTAATCCGCAATCGCCTCCAGCAGTTACAAATGTAAGACGTGACAACGTTGCGTGGTTGGGGGCGCTACTGTCAATTTACTGGTGATGTGAGATGTCATCCGCAATCCCGCCAGCAGTAAAGCAGACGACGTCAGTCTACTTGGTCTTTTTCGTGACATTTTTGCTGTGATCCCGCGCAATCCCGCCAGCAGTAAAGCTGTTATTTCCATTTTTGCTGTAATCCCGCGCAATCCCGCCAGCAGTAAAGCTGTTATTTCCATTTTTGTTTTTGGCTCTTGAAACTATTTTTTTTGGTTTGCGTGTTTGTTTACGTCTAGCACAATATGCTTTGTTTACAATCAGAAAATGTCACGAAAAAGAGCAAGTAGACTGACGTCGTCTGCTTTACTGCTGGCGGGATTGCGGATCACATCACCAGTAAATCGACAGTGGCGCCCCCAACCACGCAGCGTTGTCACGTCTTACATATGTAACTGCTGTTGGCGATTGCGGATTA